TCTGATTTAAGACCAAAATAGTATAAATAGTCCATGGAGCAATGAGGAGGACTGTGGAGAGCCATCAGCTTCTCCCACCCTGGGGCTGTGGTGGGGATGGTCAGGGGCCTGGGGAGATGTGAAACACACAAGAGCAGGTAACTTCTGCTTTTGTTGCCCTATGGCTTTCTCTTCCTCAGCTCAGTCTCTGTGTGCAGTTAAAGCTCTAATGGATCCTGTGGGCTGGGAAGGGTCCTCAAGGTGGCAAAGCAACACCCCAGGGGTTGCTGCTTTCTTTGCCATACAATCAAAGACCTTACAGATCATCTAGTCACAATCCCTGCCATGGGCAGGGACACCTCCCCACTAGACCAGGAGATGCATGCTTCAGGTCTCTGCTGTGGAATGGGAGGACATTCCATGACCAGTGGATGCATCCCTCATCCCGTTGTGCTTGAGCAGGGTTGATGCTGTTGCATCTCTCCTGCCATCAGCTCTGCCCCACCATCCCTAAGGACAGTCCCCATCCCGATTTTAGCTGTTTTCCTGCCTGCCCGGGGCAGGCAATGCCTTGGGGCTGTGCAGGCAGGCACTAGGCTCCCTCATGAGCTGCCAGGGGGCTGCCTGCGTGCCAGGAGCTGCTGCCAGGAGCATCACCTCGCAGCCTGCTGCTGGGGGGGCCGGGAGGTATCGCCTTGCTCTCTGACCTGCTCGTGACTCGGGGATCTCCTCTGGCATGGCACGCTTAAGTCAGGCGCTTTTCTGGGGGAGCAGGTGCCTGGGTTTCCTTATGTCATTCCCAAGAGATCGGGATCACCAGCTGGAGCTTTGAGTGGCATCGATCTTGCTGGAAACTGAGCAGCTTGCAGGACTGGGGTGGCTGGGGCTGGGCTGGGGAGCTCCTTTCTCAAGAGCCAGGACTTTGCTGCACACCCTCTGGTGCAGACTTTTCTTTCCTCTCCAGCCGTTCCTGGGAACTCTCCGGCACAGGCAGGGGTGGAGGGATGCAGGCAGGGATGCAGGGATGCTGACAGAGGTGGAGGGATGCAGGCAGGAATCATAGAATTATGAATCATAGAATCAACCGGGTTGGAAAAGACCTCAAAAATCATCGAGTCCAACTCTAAATGGAGGGATGCAGACCTGCCACTCACTGCCTCCATCAGACAGTATTTTCCCCCATTGAGTTTCAGATCACTTTGGCCCGGGCTGGCTGCACTGCACTGGGCGGAAGGGAAACATCTCTTTATTAGGATTGTTTCCTTAAATAAAGCCATCGGAGCCAGCGCTGGGCTGGCTGTGCTGGCCATCCCATGACCGGTGTTGCGCATTCGAGTTATTAACACTTCATTAGATGTTGGTTCCTCCCCACGTCTCTGGTTCAGCAAATCCCAGTGGCTTTATTGTTGCTCCCTGACTCTTGATTCACCAGGGCCTTTTTTTTTTTATGGCCTCTTGCGCTTCTGCTGACAGTTTAAATTTAATTTCTTCTTGAGGTTGGTAGTTTTCCTATGACTTTCAGATGGTTCTTTGTGCACCCCCAGAGCAGGGAATGCCTCAGCACACCTTTTTGGGAGAGATTATCCTAACATCACTGCCAGTGGCTGGCTCTCACCTGCCATCACAACCTAGGTTTGCACTTGCCCAATCTCCAGAAATTCTCTATTTTTTTCCTTCTTTTTTTTAAAACCTTGACTCACTTTCCCAAGTGACAGCAGCAGCAGCAGGCACAGCTGTGTCCTGGGAGGAGTTTGGGGACTGTAGCAAGTGGGTTAGAAGCCTGATGTTGTGGTTGCCACTCCATGGCTTCCCTTTGACAACAAACCTCCTCGTTTTATATATTCATGTGTCTGTTCTCTCTTGTCACCCAAGACAGGCACTCGAGGCTGTGGCCCCTGAGCCAGTTCTGGAGTGGGCTGATAGCACCTCTGAAGGGATCTGGCTCCTCTGAAAGGTTCCCAGGAGCATGCTGCAGCCCTCAGTACGCTGGGCTGGCATGGATGGCCCTTCGTTTCCAAAAAGCAATGGCAGATTTGCTACTTATTTTCATCTTGAGCTTATTTTCATCACTGCTTCCACCGCTCTGCCAGGGGATGCTGTCTGTGGCATGATAAGTTATTTCAAGAAGTGGGGCAGAGCTGTTGGTATGGAGGGGAGTGCAGACATCCAGATTAAAGGTAAATCTGCACAATAATTGGGAGCCTGCTTCCCGCAGAAATCAGGTGAACGATGAATCAGGGGTGGTGATGGCTCTGAGATCCCAGGGGGCTGCTCTCAGCCACCCCCCCAACTCCCAGCTTCTGCTGCTGGGTCCTAGCTGGGGGGTTGGATACACGGCACAGGGTTAGTAATCCCCACCACCGCCTCCTCAGACCTGCCAGATGTCTCTCCTCTAGGATTCATTTTTATAAATTGGCCTTTTAAAGTCTGTCATCCCCATGCAGATGAAAGGAAGATGCTGTGATGCCTCTGTGTGCGTGTCTCTGAGCCTCAGCCCGGCTGCAGTGCCTGGATCTTGAGGGGTTTTGTTTGTGGCTTTATCATTTTTGAAGTGCCTTTTTTTCCTCCTTCTTTTTTTCTTTAACCTCTCAGAGGCTGTTGCATCTTGGCTTAACACCCCTTGGTTTCGGGCAAGCAGGTCCTGAGCACAGTCCCTCCAGGAGAGAGGGATGGTTAGAAGTGTTCTCACCCCATCCCTGGGGGGAAACCAGCGAACGAGGCTTGACACCCAGGGCAGATGCAATTAAATCCATCACCATGGGGCTTTCTCTCTCCTTCCCAAGCCCCTTTCTGGTCTCTTCCTCTGCACCCTTTCCCTCTCCCTTGCTCTTGCTGTGACTGCTTGGATTGGCAGCAGGACTCCTTTTCATCTCCCTTTTCTCCCCGGGGCCCAAATAATCCTGGCCCATGGCTTGGTGCCAGGGCAGCTCCCTGGGCCATAGCAGGATGGGGCTGTGAATTTTCAATTCAAAGGGCAGTAACCACTCCTGCAAGCCAAGTCTTTAAATCTTCCGCTTGGTGATGGATGGATAATTAGGAACTGCATTTGCTGGGTCCACTCCTGCAAGCCAAGTCTTTAAATCCTCTACTTGGTGATGGATGGATAATTAGGAATTGCATTTGCTGGGCGGGTAACAAACAGCTTTGCATTTTCTGCTGCTTTCCTGATGTCTCTTGGGGAAATTCAGACACTGCTCCTAAACTGCAGGGATGGGTTTTTTCCCAGCTGGCATGGCTCCCTGCTCAGGTCTCCGGGAAAGTCCTGCAGTGCTGAGGAGAGCCTTGCTGGGGATTTCTGCAGAGGCCAGAGCTCTGCTGGAGACTGGTGACAGTGTTGTGGGACGTGAGTACAGATCCCTGATACAGCCACATGTGTCCCCTGCCCGTGAGGACACAGCCAGGGCACTGAGCAGCATTCCTGTCTTAAAGGTGGGATTGTGCATGCATGGTGTTCCTATTGAGATTTTTGTTGCCTATGGAGGTTTCTTCCTGTTTGAAGGGGTTGAGAGTCACTTCCAGGGATGCAGGTGCTCCCGGAGAGCTCAGATGTTGGGTGCTGGTAGGTCAGGCAGTGCTTCTTCTCCATAGGGATGTGCTGGGGATGTGGCAACCAGCTCCTGGTCACAGCTGCTGCTCTGGATTGCAGCGTTTGGGTCTGGTGACTGACATGGTTGGGGTCTGGAGGATGAGGAGTGGGTTAGCCCAGTTCCCAGTGCTCACCCCAATCCCGTGGCTTGTGCAGTTCATCCGAGCAGTAATTAATTATTGCCCATGTAAGCTGCCGGCGGGATACGGCGCGTGATTTATTAGCAGGAGTAATCCCTCGCCAGCAAAAGAGCTGCTCTGTGAATGGAGAACAGCAAATCCGGGGAAAGAGCTGCTCTGTGAATGGAGAACAGCAAAACCTGGGGGAACCATTCTGTCCTTTCAGAACTGGATCCCCCAGGCACAGTCCCTGCCTGGAGTGTGACAGCTGCAGGCACCACTGGGCTCTGTGTTTGAGCCAGCTGAGGTGGATTGGCCAAAGCACTGCCCTTGGAAGGGTGTCTGGACACATGGACCCTGTGTTTGGGGACATGGGCTGAGCAGTGCCCCAGTTGCTCACTGGCAAAGGCTCATCATCACCAGCAGGCAGGAGCAGTCTCAGTGCTCGGAGATGGTTTTTGAGATGCAATTGCTGCCAGTGTCTTCCTGGGCAGGTGGTTCATTCTGCCCAAAGCTAGGTAGAGGTTTGGGAAAGCAGTGTGAGCATCAAGCTGGAGGAGCACATATGCCCCTGCCAGTCCCACAGCCACTGGAAGAGGGACCAGTGTGAGGGTGGGGAAAGTGATGCTTCTCCCATGGGCACACAGGTGTGATCTGCAGCTCCCATCAGCTCCTGGTGTGCTCCTGGGTCTGGCTTCTGTTTTCTTTTCCCTCTGCACTCTACCTACTCGTTGCCCTCTGTTGACGACCTGTCCCAGGTTATCTATTACCCTATGATGCCTGATGCTCAGCAGGGAGGCTGAAACACCAGAATTGATGTGGCAAAGGATCAGGGCAGAAATACTGATGGAGGAGGAGAATGCCCAGCTGCTGTGTGCAGTGGGCAGGGTGCTGCCCTGTGCGGGCACTGCTAGGGTGCCTGGTGCTCCCTCACCCTGCGGAGAGCTGCGCCGTGCCCAGGCAGACACACAGTGAGAGAAATCCTGAAGGCGAATCCCCCCAGGCTCCTCCAGTCAGGGACTCCTTAGCAGGTTTATGAGAAATCAATAATGCTTTTGCATGGTCATAATCGTAAAATAAGTACAATTTATGGCTGCTGAGAGGGCCAAGATTTTTTTCCACCTTATGAGGTAGAGAGCAACTGACACACAGATGCTTTCGCACAGTGTTGCCCTTTGCACCAGAGCTGCAGAACCTGCAGTGTGGCAAGGGGAGATCCCTGTTTTGGGGAAAGCAGGGTGGGTTGCCCATGCCTGTGCCCACACTCATGCTGTCCCTTGCCCCCACAGCCTGCCGGCAGGTGGAATGGGGCAGCCATGAACGGCGATGCCCTGTGCCAGGAGCCCTCCTCCCCACTCCCCGACTGGAGGGAGTTCTGCGAGCTGCATGCCCAGGCAGCCGCCGTCGACTTTGCCCAGAAGTTCTGCCAGTTCCTGAAGGAGAACCCCCACTACGACACCCCAGGGGCAGAGACCTCCTTCTCCCACCATTTCGCTGCCAACTTCTTGGACATCTTCAGCCTGGAGGTCAGCAGGGTGTTCGTGTCCGACTCCCCCACCAAGTACAACATCGTGCCCTTCGTGGGGCTGCAGAACTGCCACGTCCCCTACGGGCGGGAGGTGACCCCGAGGAAGGAGGAGACATCCACCGAGTCCCTGGACAGCATGGACACCCCGCTGGGTGCCAGCAGGTACCTGACCCCAGCGCAGCAGGTGCAGGCACGTAAGGTGTCCTCCTACGGCCAGTCCCGCAGCTCGGAGGATGTCTCCATCCATGCTGCTGCCAAGCCCAAGTTCAAGAAAGGCTTCTCCTTGAGGAACATGAGCTTGTGCGTGGTGGACGGTATGAAGGAGATGTGGCATCGCAAGTCCTCTCCGGAGCCGGGCACTGAGGCTGCTCCGGGCGGCCGCAGAGCCGAGAGGGAGCCGTGGCCAGCTGGGGGCAAGGAGCCTGGTGACCCACGGGAGAAATGGACCCACAAGCTGCGCCTGTCCAAGGTGCCCTCCTCCAAGGTGGAGCTGGTGGACATCCAGAGGGAGGGAACGCTGCGCTACATGGTGGCTGATGACACGAACTGTGTGGGGAGCTCGCAGTGGCAGAAGTGCCGTCTCCTGCTCCGGAAAGCAGTGAAAGTGGAAGGAGAGAGGTTCCTCCTTGAGTTTTATGTCCCTCCAAAGGTAAGTCCTGGCTTTTCTCCACTGTTGTTTTTCTGACCTGACTGGAAGTAAGCAAACCATGTCCATGGTATAATGCCTACAAGGGAGCCTACAAAAGAGCTGGAGAGGGGCTTTTGCCAAAGGCTTGGAGTGACAGGACAAGGAGAATGGCTTCACACTGAAAGAGTGGGTTTAGATTGGATTTTGGGAAGAAATTCTTCCCTGTGAGGGTGGTGAGACATTGGCAGAGGTTGCCTAGAGTAGCTGTGGCTGCTCCATCCCTGGAAGTGTTCCAGGCCGCGTTGGATGGGGCTTGGAGCAACCTGGGCTGGTGGAAGGTGTCCATGCCTATGGCAGGGGGTTGGAATGAGATGAGCTTTGAGTTCCTTCCCACCCAAACCATTCCATGGTTCTGTGCATGGAGGATCTGGTGAAACTGGTGCGTATGGGCCGCACAGAGCAACCCTGGCACATCAGCTGCACCAAAGGGGCAATAAACTTGGGTTAAAATGGAGCAACTGCTGCTCTTAAAACATTTAAGAGAGTGCTCGTAGAAGGATTCTTTTTTTTAGTGTATCTTGATTCGCCTCTAAAAATCAATTTTGAAATTATTTTACGGCAACTTTTATGAACATTGTCTGCTCTTCTGTTATAATCACACCCTGTTTCAGTTTACAGCTTTCCCCCCTCATCCCATCTTGCTTTCCATCTGGCAAATGATTCAGCTGTAAAAGTGGCACCAGTCTGACACAGCTGGAAGAAAATGGCTTTTTGCTTCAGCAGCCCACAGCTTTGTTTTTGCATAGACCCTACAAAAACTATGGCCATGTCTTTAAATCTTGAAAGGGAAGAGCCCTTCCGGAGAAGAGGGGGCTGGAACAAGATGATCTTTGAGGTCCCTTCCAACCCAAACCATTCTGTGATTCTAACACCCTTCTCTGGCTCACCGGTGAATTATCACCTTGTTTTCTTTCCTTTCGAAGCAGCTGCCGCCTCCTTTCTGACCTTCTCCTGTGCAAACACCAAGATGGAAAAATTCCCCAGGGATGGGCAGTGCCTTGCACAACTGAGATGTGTCTGGAGGCAGCACTGGGGCTCAGGGTCTGGCAGAAACGAAACATCCTGGAAGGGGAAAAAGCAGTTTCTGTTCTGTCTTGGATTTATTTATTTTTATTTCCAAATAAAAATGGGAACTGAGCCCATTGCTGGTAACCTGCAGCCCAGAGCTCCTCACTGGCCTCATCCCACCCCCTGCACCCAAGGCACCAGGAGCAGGTTTCAATGACTAAATCACATCTCTCCACTCCCCGCAGGCACAATGCTCCAAATCCCAGAGCCCTGGAGAGCAGCTCTGCGGGCTCCTTTGCGGGGATTTGTTATAATTAAAACAAATATCTGGGGAATTTGTTGCTCAGCAAACACTTGGAGTGGGAGGCACCAGGTCCTGCCCCCCCCCCCCCCGCCGGGGGCCGCCGGGGGGACGAGGATCCGGCGGGTGCCAGGGGCCCTGGGGGAAATTAATTTTTCTTTATTTTAATGTAATTAAAATTCCCTGCATGGCTGAGGCTGCTGTGTCGTAGCTTCTCGGTTGAAATGCTGCTCCTGTGCTGGATAAACGGGGCTGCTTTCCGCATGGGAAGCATCCCCCATCAGATAGCACAGTTCTCTCCCTGCAGATCTCCATTGGGAGAGGGTTTAAAATGGAGAGAAATAAGTGGTGTTGGCAGAGCTGGCACATCAGCCTGCGCTGGAGCAAGGAGGAGGTTTGGCAGTTAAATGCACCTCCCTATCTTCCACTGGGCCTCCTCTTGGTTTAATTCAAAGAGCTCAGAGTTATCAGGCACGGGAGGGAAATCAATGCTGTTTATTCCCCCCTCTAACAACCGCACAGGCTGAGCCATGATCTTGCCTCTGAGAGCCCTGATGTGTCATCCCCAGGGACAGTTTGATTCAATTGAGTGACTTTTTTTCATTCATTGATTTCTTTTAATTTATTTTCTTTGGGGTTTTTTTTTTCTTTTCCCAGGCTTCCAAACCCAAGGTGAGCATCCCTCTGTCAGCGATCATCGAGGTCCGCACCACCATGCCACTGGAGATGCCTGACAAAGACAACACCTTCGTCCTAAAGGTGAGAGAAGGGTGTGTATCCCAACGGGGACCCCATCTGCACCCACCTCCAGCCCCACTTCAGAGATGCTCAGTCCCCAAGGGGATCGTTGCCTTGGCTTTCAGAGCTGAGATGCTAACAGCGCTAATGCTCCCCACGGGATCCCTGCCCTCCTCCACCTGGTGCCTGGGGATTTGGAGATTGAGCTGTTTGCTTGGCTTTCAACATGGGATCTACTTCTCTGTGTCACCAAGAGATGGGTTATACTAGTGTCCAGAGATAACCTGCAATGGAAAATGCTCCTTGGTGTGGATGTCTGTGGTTTTGTGGCTGCCGCTGCGTCGGATCAGTGAATGTGGTGGCTGTGTCATTGACATGGGGTGATGGCACTTAGTGCTGTGGTTTAGCTTACAAGGTGGTGTTCGGTCAGAGCTTGGACTTGATGATCTTGGAAGTCTTTTCCAACCTTAATGGTTCTATGGGAACAGGTGTGCAGGGCCATTGAGACCCTGGACATCAACCATCCCACGCAAGTTGGGGCCACGAGCAGGAGAGTGAAAGTCTCTCCAGAAAGTGTTTTCCATATCATACAATTAATTAGCTTAATGCTGCCTCCTGCGCTGTTGGAAGGCAACAGCCTGTCACGGCAGATCAGGGCTGAATTTCGCACGGTCCTGGCCACTGTGATGATGGACATGTTGTTGGAGATGGTGTTTCTCTCCAGCTAATGGGGTTGTGCCTCACTGCTTGTGCTAATGGACTTGTGCTTTCCATCAGAGCTGTGGGATGTGCTTGGCTGGGAGGCAGCATATGAACATGGGGGAATGCCAGTGTTTTGAGCATTTCTGTGTCCTGTCCCTGCTAAAAGACACCTCTCTCTCTGATGCTGCTCCCCAGGAGCATGTGGCAAAGCAGAGCAGAGAGGCCAGGCTTCCTGGCTGAATAAACCTGCTAAAAAGCTTAGAAAACTGTGAAAGCAGAGGAGGGAAATACCAAGCCTGGCGTTGTGAAAATCCCTAGGTCAGATAGCTCCTCTGGCCCCAGCACACATTCTCATGGGAAATAGTTTTCCACCAAACCCATCTCCTTGTCAAGGTCCCACACCTTCTCCTGGCATCTCCTTTGGGGTGTCCTCCCTGCCTCAAGGATTTCTTGCTGTTCAGCCTCTGTTGCGGTCTTGTTCACCATGGACACAAAGGCTCATTCAGTTGTCAGCTTGTGTCCCTCAGAGACTCAAGTGTCTTCTGCTCTCCAGATTGACCAGCCCAAGGTCCTCCTTGCTTTCCTTTCAGGCTCTGGAGAGAGAATGGCCCAAAGGGTACTTGGGACTGTGGCCTAGAGTGGATGGGAAGGATTGCTTCTCCTTTGATTGCTTCTCCTTTCTTCTTCCTCTTTATGCAGCCCAAGCTGATCCAGTTGCGTTCTTCATACCCTGATGATGTGATGATGTTGTCTCACACGCAGCTTGTGGGCTGGTGTTTCCCCTTGATGCACTTTGCAGAACTGCTCTGGAGTCCCAGTTCTCCAGCCTGGGTGCCCACAGCCCAGAGCTTGCCCGTGGCCTTGAGCTGGAGGCAGCTTCAGCTTTTTCTTCCACTGAGCATTCCTCAGATTCAACATGTGCATTTGAATTCTCACCTCATCCTGCATCACACAGCAGTGTGGTGTCATCCATGAATCGATCAGGCATCCTGGCACTCCTTTGTCTTAGTGATTGCTGAGGAGCAGTGTGCATGGAGAGCCTTTGATGAGCAGGAGCTGCTGAGCATATCCCTCAGCTTTGACTGTTGGCTGTCAGTCGCTGCTCTTGGAATATGGCTCATCAGCTACTTCTGGTAGTGTTTTCCAAATCCCCTTACAAGTCCCACCTCAATCATGTCTTATTGGAGTGTCACAGTAGTGTCTGAAGTGTGGCCAATGCCAAGGATGTGCCACTGCTTCTCTGTCTGAGGGGTTGCCACAAGCATGAGCAGATGGGTTTGACCAGGTTTGGTCCTGGCAGATCCTCTGCTGTGGGGATTCAGCTCCAGGATCCTTCTTGGGTGCCTGTGAGGCTTGGTTTCTTTCCTTACTGGAGGAAGGCTGTGGACTTGCCCTCTTCCCATCTTTTGGAGCCAGACATGGTCTCTCCACTCCCACTGCTAACAGTTCGGTGACTGCTTCAGCCCTTTCTTTAATTACCCTGGGGAATGCTCCAAACCACACCAGTCAAAAAAAGCCTGATTTACCAAGTACCTCCTGCTCCTGCCCCATCCCGAGCAGGGCACTCCCCCTGCTGCAGGGGGAATTGATTGGAATTGATCCTTTGAGTGAGCTGAGGCAGAGAGCTCAGCATTGAGCCCCTCTCCTGCCACTCCAGCCAGCCTTTGCCCTCCCTTCCCAGCTGCTGGCACGGGATGCTGTTCCCCTATTCTCACATCTGTTCTTATTTGTGCCTCATTTTCCGCCCTGGCCCTTCTTGCTGGGACATCTTCATGCTGCTCTCCCATTCCCCCTTTGCTGGCTGGACTTGCAGAGGGGTGAAGCACCCCTCAGTGCTGGGGTACAGGTTAGATGAGTAAGAGAGTGAGCTGGGTGCTGTGGTTTCCCTGCTGCCTTCCTGCGTGATGTGGAGCCCAATCTCAACCTTCACACGCAATGTGCAGGTTATGATGGGTGGAAAAGTCCCTGCCTTGTTCAGGGAGACCACACTGAAATAGATTCTGCCAAACTGCCTAAAAATGAGCAGGCAGTATGTCCTCAGTGCCCATCAGACACCAAGCACATGCAATTTTTTCCATTGCACAAGCAGGTGCTTGCAAAATAGCTAAACCCTGCACGTGCTTCACTTGCTTCATGCTCTGCATGAGCGAGCAGCCCTATCTCCCGCGTCAGCTTCATGTGTTGCCCTCAGCCAGAGAAGCTCCTTTCTTTTGGTTAAACAAATTGAGGGGGGTCTTTACTACTCCCCTTCACCTCTGCTCAGGGCAGGATCACCCATGCACAGCCCTGGCTGCAGCAGGGAGTGGGTTGCTTCTCAGCCCCAGCCAGGGTTCTGCTCCCTGCCCTCCCTGCTTATTTTCAGGACAGTGATTCAGTTGTTCGTGATTAATTTAATTTGCTCAGAGGTTGTCTCAGCTGGCAATGTGATACCCTCCCAGAGTCAGGGCTGCTTCGCCAGTTTGGGAACACGATGTATAAGGCTCCGTGAAGGATGCAGGGAAACCTGCCAGAGGCACACAGCATCCCATGGCATCTGAGCCCACTGATGTGAGGCTTCTGGGTTCTCCCGGCCCCAGAAAGGCCCAGCTCCTTTGGGCTTGCCATTTTGGAGGCTCTTTTGCATCGTTTTTTATTTCTTTTCCTGTTAAAGTGAGTTTGTCTCCCACCCTGTTGCAATCAGAAATTAGAAGCCTCATGTACCAGCAGGCAGAAAAGATAACAGAGGAGAGGTTTAAACTCCTGGGGTCTGGCAGGGGTTTGGGGCAGAGAGCAGTGTGGCTTCTGCTCTACCTATGCAGAGCTAGTTTTTGGGGGACATTGAGGTGCTCCAGGAGTGAGGGATGATGTTTGTGCTGGTGCACAGTGCCATGCACCCCCAGTGCTGCCAGCCAGGTGTGGTTCTGCCATGTAGGCTCTAAAAACCTTGTAAAAAAACTTGTGATACATTTGCTGATAATAGCAGGGTGGGGCTTTTCCTCTGAGCCCCAGCTTTGGTCAAGAGTCATCCTTGGACATACCAGAGCATCTCTGTGGGTCACCCCTCAGCACTTCTGTGCCTGGATGAGATTAGATGCTGATCCTCTCCTGCTCACCTGTGCTGTTTAATAGCAGCAGGTGGATGTGGGGGTCTGGCTGGGTTATGGGATGTGTTTTACCACGGGGTGGGTGGCAGCACCCTGGCACAGCTGACACCATCCCACTTTGTCTACAGGTGGAGAATGGGGCCGAGTACATCCTGGAGACCATCGATTCCCTGCAGAAGCACTCCTGGGTGGCAGATATCCAGGACTGCATTGACCCGGGGTAAGGTTTGCTGGAGGAAGGGGCTGTGCTGCCCTCACTACCAAGCAAGGGTTGTTACCCTGATGCTATTTTTGCTCCTCAGGCTGTTACAGTAAGTCCCTGACTCAGGCCAGCAGAAGTCTGGAGCCAGAGTTAGCAGCCTGTGTCTATCAGGGGTGCAGCCTTGCAGAGCACTAGCTATTTACCCCTCGCTGCTCCACATTTCCTCAGCCTGGCACAGGCAGGTGTCCTGAGAATGCAGCCCTCAGTGTGGGAAGCTCTTAACACTTGCCTTCTGAAGCTTTTATAGTATATTTGAGCTATTTTCCATGTTTTATTCCAATCCAGCATCCGTGGTATATTTTAAGTTTCTGCTGGCTGAATCAGTTTATTTATTCCAATCCAGCATCCGTGGTATATTTAAGTTTCTGCTGGTTGAATCAGTTTATTCACATTTCTATCACAGTGGCATCAATGCTGTCATTGGAGTCACAGCAACTCATCCAAAACCTCTTATCTGCTGTTTCATCAGCCCATGCAGCAGGTTATGTGTTAGGGAGGTGCCTGATGCTGCTGCCCTTCAGCTGGCTCAGAGAGTCCCAGGCTCTGACGAAACCTTGGCACTGCCCTTCTTGGCACAGTTTTGGAAAAACAAGGTGCCCGTGCTTGTAGAGGTGAAAACCTCAAGCAAACCTGGCACAGGGTACTTGGAGAGGCTCCTGCTGCCTCCAGGCTGACTTTGCCTCCTTCTGCTGGAGAGAGGCAGTTTGGGCACTGCGGGATCAGTCACTGTGGAGGCTGCAAAGGATTCACTGCTGGACTCCAGATCTTTGCTCCTCCAGCTCCTTTTACTGTTTTTTAAAATACATAATTCACTAGAACAGGTTGTCCAGAGTAGCTGTGACTGCCCCATCCCTGGAACTGTTCAGGTCCAGATTGGATGGGCCTTGGAGCAACCTGGATTACTGGAATGCATCCCTTCCCATGGCAAGGGCTGGAACGGGATGAGCTTTAAATTCCCTTCCATCCCAACCCATCCTGCAATTCTATAATTTCAGAAGCAATGCTGAGGCTGAGCTGCTGACGGAGGCGAGGCTGGGAAAAGGCCGTTTTTTTCCCACTGCATGTTTCAGTGCCAGTTTTCCAGCCGGAGCCGAGCGCCGCAGCCGTGCTCGCCTCGAGCCACCGCGGAAGCCACCGGCGTCCCTGCGCCAGCCCCTCGCTCTGCCCTGGCAACCTCCCAGCCTTTTCTGTTTGCTTAGCACCCAGCACAGTCCCGCTTTGGCCTCCGGACGTGACTGTAAAGCAAATAATAATGAACTCCAGAGCAAATAATAATGAGCTGTTTAATACACCGACACACACGCTCGCTGCCAAGAACGAATTTTCAATCAGCTCCTGATGCTTTTGCCAAGGGCTGCGTGCCGGAGCCGCTGCGTGAGCGCCCGGCGACGGCTTTTCTGCAGAGGGCTGTTGGTTTTGGTTTCCTTCCTCCCTTCTTGTTTTTAACCGGCTGCAGCTGAATGACTCCCAATGGCTGATTCACTTACTGGCCACTAAATAATTCAGCAGCTCACGAGGGAGCCGTTACCACCGACGCAGCCGTTTCCTCGCTGCCTGCGCCCACGTGGCCGCTGTTAAGCAAGAGTGGCGGAGTGCTGCGGGCAGTGCTGGGCTCTCGTTGGTGCTGGGATAAAAATAGGCTGTGGAGCAAGTCGGATGCTTGTGCAAGAAGGGTGCTGAAGTGCACAGGCAGAGTTGGCAGCAGGGATGCTCTATAGGGGCTCCTCGCTGCTGTGCACTATTCACTGCTTGTTGTCTTGCTCCAGGCCTCCTGGCTTGGTTTTTTGATGTCTTTAGGGATGTAATTGCTGTGAGTTGGGAATTCCCTTTGCAGAGGGTGAAAGTGAAAGCATCCTCGGGTAGAAGGTGGTGGTGGGAGTGTGTGTGGTGCACCAAGGTCTTGCAAAGCAGAGCTGAGAGTCAAGGTAGCAGATTTCCATCCAAACCAGTAAGGTTGCAGCAAAATCCTGCAGCTGGGACCGACCAGGTAGTGTGGTAGTGTGGCCTTTCAAGGGTTTAATCCCCTCCATGCTGGTTTCTCACCCTCCAGAAAAGCTATTCTGTTTGGTGGCTGCTCTGCCTCTCAGTGCTGTTGGTGCATTTGGCCATGGCAGCCCCCTGGGAGGGAGCAAGGAGCACTGGGATGTGCTCCTGGATCACAGCTGGAATTTTGTTTATTCAAGTCCCCATTCCATGTCTGCGAGTGGAGGTGCCACATGTGTGTGTCTCTGTAGTGTGACAGCTGGTGCATGACCAATGGCTCTGTGCTTTCCCCCAGGGACAGTGGGGACGACATTGAGCTGGTGTCCTGTGCACAGGGACCCTGTCTGCCAGGCAGGACGACCTCCTCCAGCTGCGAGTTCCTGGCTGACGGTAAGGACCTACCTCTGGGAAAGTCTGCGAGTCCCTCAGAGCCATAACCTAGCCCTGAGATGTCTCCAAGAGCCAGGGGTGTCCAACTTGGTTGCCTTCAGAGCAGGGCAGCCCCCAGCCTTGTCCAGCGATAGTGGGTGATGTTGAGCCATGAGCCCATCCCTCTCCAAATTCCCTTCCAGATGTGCCCAGGCCGCCAGACAGATGTGCCCTGCCCAGTTCTCACAACACCGCCACGGCCACCGCTGTCCCTACGCCCCACGGCCGGAGCAGGGACTCCCTGGGGGAGCTCCTCACCCATGTGCCCCTGGAGAGCTTCCTGCAGACACTGGAGTCCTCCCCTGCCACTGGTGGGCATCTTGCAGGTACTGGGATGCAGGATGTGTCCCCAGAATCTCACTCGAGAGGGTGCACAGAGGGAGAGGAGGAGGTGATGGGAGGGGGTGATGTCCGGATGCTCTGTAAAAACCTTCTGTCCCTGCGGGCAGGGGAGGACAGCGAGGCGGAGGCAGAGATCAACCTGTCTGACTTCCCCTGGTTCCATGGGACTCTCTCAAGGATCAAGGCAGCTCAGCTGGTGCTCTTTGGGGGTGCTCGGAGTCATGGCTTGTTCGTCATCCGGCAGAGCGAAACACGGCCGGGGGAGTACGTGCTGACCTTCAACTTCCAGGGGAAAGCAAAGGTGAGTGTCCTCTGCTTCTCCATGAGTCCAGCACCTCAGGCTCCTTCCCATCCTGCTAGGGCTCTGTGAGCAAGTCTGTGCCATGCAGTGACTCCAAACACGGCAGCTCTGCAGGGAGCTGCACTCTAACAGTGCATCCCTCAGGACCATCTGCTGTTGTCCCCCAAGAGCCCTCTGCACCCTGCCCATCTCCTTCCCCACTTTGCCAGCTGGATCAGTGCCTGCCATGCCAGCATAAAGTTAAATACCCTATGTGAGCCCAGCATAGCCTGGCACATCATCCCCTGCCCTCTCCTTGTGCTCTGTGTGTCCCAGAGTACATGCATGCACTATGAAAAAACAACCCACATGTAGTATTCTGCTGGGTCCCTTTTCTAGCAGAGAGGTTGAGATATAACTGCCTGGTCTTGGCACCTGTCCTGCAAGAAGGAGTTCAGGTAGGCTGTGGGCTTCCCCAGGCTGTTGGTCACACTAGGTTGGAGCTTCAGCCCCTATGGCTGTACCCAGCCACCCTTCTCTGGGTGTTTCTTTATAGTGTAAAGAAGAGCCAAACTTCTGCTGGGGCTGCAGCAAGTGGGGTTTTGCAGGAAACGCCCTGCAGGAGGGGAAAAAATAACCATCCTGTGTTAGGAGCAAACCTCCCTTGGCTGATGGAGATGACTCCTGCTGCCGATTGCAAGGGTTGGTCTCACTCTTGAGATGCCCATCTCACCCGCTGTCCTCCTGTGCTTGCAGCACCTCCGCCTGTCGCTGAATGAGAGTGGGCAGTGCCACGTGCAGCACCTCTGGTTCCAGACCATCTTTGACATGCTGCGCCACTTCCACACACATCCCATCCCCCTGGAGTCAGGTGGCGCGGCCGACATCACCCTCCGCAGCTACGTGGTGGCCCAGAGCCCACAGCCCGGTGAGTGCCAGGGCTGTACCTGGAGGGTTGGGGGGCAGGTTGGGCTGGGATCTTATGTGGAACTAAGAGACAGATCCCTGTGATTCCCCTTCCCTAAAGCTGTTCCTGTGCCTGTGTGTTTGGCTCTGGGGATGTGCCAAGGTGGGTGTTATCCCATTGAAGGTGGGTAGGGAAGACAACACAGCAGCAGGACTGTGTCCCTTGCTGTGGGTGTCAGTCCCCTGGCTTGGGCAGGGGTCTGCAGGGCTCAGAGCATCCTGCTGTGCTGGGAGAGGGCAGGAAGGGAGTGTTGGGGAAGGACAGAGTCAGGGATTGAGAGGCTGGGTGTGAGAAGGTTCCAGTGATGGAGAGGAGGGCTGAGCCCCCAGGCAGCATCAGAGGG